CACTAATTATTATCATAGCAAAAAGACTTTAATTACGGCTATAATCATAACTATTGCTTATTTTAAGACGAGTATTATTGACATTTTTCCACATGTAGTTGTGGTTCGCTAAAACTCCAAACGCAACGAAGTAGTTCCATTTATTTATTATAGCTTTGGAAAATGTGACCCGAGAAATACCACTTTCCTCAGAGTCCCCGTCCTTCCAAAAAAGTACTTTAAGTAACAACCATTGTAAATAATGTTCTAACGACAGCGTAAATCCATGAAATTATCCACGAACGAAACGATCCAGAGGGGCGTTGTGATAGTGTTGTTGACTGACGAACGACTGACGAGGGAAAGGTGTAAGAAGATATGTTGTTGTTCAATCTACAAATTAATTTTAGGTATTTCTGTTCAGACAAAAGGTCAAAAAGGTCGACAACATTTTGGTACTTTCCACACCAATTTCAAGAACTAGAACTCGACAGACAACTGAGGTGTAGATATTAAAAACCTTAAAGTTCGTTTCAGGTTATAGATATAGCAAAAGTTACGCGTGCAATTCCCCGAGGAAAAAAAAAACAAAACAAAACAAACAAACAAACTTGGCGGAGCAGACAAAATAGTAGTTTATTTCTCAAACATTTTCAGCAACTGGTGTAAGATTAACGAAATCGAGATTGATCTTATTCCGCCACGTCTCGAAACTACTCATATAACGACCTTACCAATTAACTTTTACTATTCGTGATTGCTTTATCAAACATCATAATTCATGTATATTCTTCCCTGGTTGAATAAAATTACTAAATAAGGAAACCCAAGGAGGAAATAGCAGCCATTTATCTTCTCGCCGTCTCTGTTTCGCTTGAGTCTTACTCTAGCCTTAAAACCATCGCTTTCCTGAAAATCCTCCCAATTCAAAAGAAAGGGTGAAAGTTTTTTTGATTGGCTGCTAGTCACCATACGCTACGTACCACTCTTTCTCTGGAAGGCACTGCGTGGCAACTAAAATCAAGGCTAAGGAAGTTATAGCTGTCTTTGACAAGTTCCTGTCACGCAACGTTATGTAACGCCTCTCCCGTAGGAGAAATATCGCAAGACAAGACGCAAAGTACAGAAACTCCAATAATATCGTCGAGCCCTCTAGTCCTGTCCTTGACGAGACGAATGGGATTTGACTGGCATGTTTTCAGTTATCCTTTGATAACGGCGATTGGTCTCAGTTTAATGGCCTTCTGACTAATTCCCGCATCATGGCCTAAATTAGTGAATAAACAAAAAAACATCGGAAAAAATAAACAAACAAATAAAAAATACAAAAACACAACAAAACAAAAAAGAGCAAAAAAAGCAAAACAAAATAAACAAAAGAAAAGTGAAAAGAAAATTATGAACGAATTGAAAAAGTGCTGTTGCGATGATATTCGCCTATTTCAAGTTTAGTATATTGACAAAAGAGAGAGGGGTCTGTACACAATCCTGATGTCAACCCGGGTTGAGTAAACGACCTCATCAGTAGTGTGATCAGAATATTTTATGACTTTTTTTAAATTTTACTTTCTCCGGAATTAATGCTGAAATTTCAAAGAGGAATTATTTTTAGTGCTTCTTAAATTCAAAGAGATAAAAACCTCATCGGAGGCAATTCTATGTTTAACGCCGAAAATAGGTAAAACTTGATAGATTGCGGAAGGAAAAAAGTAATTTGTTTTTTAAGAAAAAAAAAATTACTCAAACAAGTCATCTCAGCCGGAAAGAACACCTAAGTAAAAGAAAAAGTTGGTGTCTAAAGTGGGGAATCCTACATCGTTAATCAGCTATAGTCCTTAGGTTTATATCACAGAATTGAATAAATTCTCGCATTCTGATTGGTTAATGAGGCAAAGTATTCAGCGTGGACTTGCGAGTTGAAAACGAGGTTAAGTGATATTATTTCGCATCTCTTGTTACGCGCACAGGTTAAAAACGAACAAAGTTATTGAGATATCGGTTTTCGCGTGAAATTTAACGCGGAATTCTCCCGTCAGGTGATGAAGTTTCCTATAGAATCTCATTGTCTCAACTTCTTGGAGGTAAAATGTAGTTTGAGAGATTATTTCTTTTGTAAACCGTTGATAACACAAACAGTTCAGCACTGCCTCGAAAAATAAGTCACATTGAACAAGTAACGATTATACTTACAAGTGTTCACGACATCTGTCACCTTTTTATAAGACTCAGGAGCCTGATAAAAGATGAAATTAAACGTATAAAATTAACGTCCACTCTTGAGATTTCAACAACTTTTGATGCAATACTATGCCAGTTAGAGCGTCGAAACGGCTTTTAAAAAGACGGCCATTGAATAATTTGTTACCTCTTCCATAACCAGTTTTGGAGAGGCCACTCTGATTGAGATTCCTTTGGATTTAAGACTATCGAGAACTTCTTGATAGTCAAGATTTCGGCTGAAAGAGAATGAGAAGGACAATTAAAACTACATGTATAGAAGTAATGTCAAAACGAAGTCAAGTTGACCAATTGACGATTTTATTCTTAGAACTACTTGTGAAACACGTACCGTGACTTTGATCTTGATAAAGCTCTTCCCTGAAGAAAAAAACATTGATAGATACAAACATCTATGACATAACTTAGACACAACGCGTACTCTGAGTAGTCAAAAATATATTGTATATTTTCCTATCACCCCTACAAAACTGAAACATCTTCAGGTCTTGTCAAATAGAGCTACACGGGGCGAATTCCCAGACTTCAATTCATTAGAAGCTTTTAGTTTGGAAGAAACAAAGAGGAACATTTCTTTAACATTATTACACTTTCAATTCAAGATGCAGTTTAACTAAATGGTTGCTCTTGCGTTTTAAGCCTTTATTTTTCGCCTGCGCCTCATGGTTAACAAGTTTTCTCGTGTTTTCTTAAGATCACGCGTGGTTAATCAGCCGGTAAACCAATACAATGTGTGGCGTACTGATCTGTAAATATATACATTGAAAAAAAACTTTCTGAGAAAAAGAAGAAAACAAACTAACAAACAAACAAACTTGCTGACACGTTTCAAACCTTATGGAACCCAAGGTGTGAAACCAGGAGGT